AAAATCTAGATTTCTATTCGGTTTATATAAAACTAGGTAAACCCCAACTCCACATGTTTTAAACCAGCTTTTTTAAGAAAGAAACTAATTAAGAAAGATACTATAGTTATGGTATGGAACTATGGTTATTATGCACAGTTGAAATACTAATTAAAACCATATTTTAAGATTTAGGTTTAGAATGAGCTAGAAAGTGTTCCAGGAAATTTCTTTTTGTGATGTTTTGTGGGATTAAATTAAGATTATTGATTGAAACAATCCCAAGTTAATTTGCATTGAGCTATATTTTGGTGAATTTCAAGTTTTTAGGTAAAGTACATTAACTAATGTGTTTGGAGAGCTGAGTTATCGCTCAGTTTCTTCTTGAGCAGGAATTAACTGCTATAACAGTAAAAACTTTTGTTAATTTCTAGTTAAAAATAGTACTTATATATTTATTTTGAGCTTAAGTAGGAATCAAAACAATATTCCAGTCAGCGGGAAGCCAAACTTTTTACGAATGTATAAATTGTGGACGTGGATATTTCTTGAATTATTATTATTATCTAGGTTAGAAATAATAGTAAAACATATTATGCACTCTTTAAGGTAGGTTTGGTGATTAGGATGCTCGACTCACAATTTGCAGGTCGCGGGTTCGAATCCCCGTCACACAGAACGTGCTAGCCCTTTCAGCCGTAGAGGTGTTATAATGTGACGGTCAATCCCACTATCCGTTAGTAAAAGAGTAACACAAGAGTTGGCGGTGGGTGCTGTTGACTATCTGTCTTCGCTCTAGCCTATCATTGCTAAATTATGGACGACAGTATAGCTTCGTATAGCTTTGCGCGAAATTCCAAAGAAACCAAACTACTATCTTTTGCCAACAACGAAAAAAAAAGAAAAGAAAAAAAGAAACGGTAGCAATACACTTAGAATTGAATCGATCTGCATTTCATTGTACAAAATTATCTGGAAAATCTTTACGTTATGTGTTCATTTGAAATATTATAGACTTAAGAGCAAAAGAAATTGTCGAGTCAGGCTTAAAACTACGAAAATAACTATTATTTTTCTGACTGTAAAATTTAAAAAGATATTTCGTTTTTTATATACGTTTTAACTCTCATATTCGGAAACCTAAGTCGTACATGACATCTATAACGTTAAGCTAGAAAACAGTGACTTTAGTGTTTACACGTAGTATTTTAAATCATTATTCAAGCCCAAATCGAAACATGTAGTTTCACAAAATATTCTACTACAATTTTTATTTTCTTCATTTTTGATAACTTTCGCATACAGCGAAGGTAGCATAATAAAATGTAACAACCTTCTGAACGTTTTTCATATATATATATATATATTAATGAAACCTACTTTCCTGATTTAATGATGTTCCGAGAAAATAAGTAGACTCTGCGTAATTTAATGTACTGAAGCTAATATTAAATTTCGAATATCTTCAAGATCTACATTAAACGTTCTCCGATGGGAATAAGATATACGAGTACACTTTAAGGTCCAGTAAGCCATTAGGTGAGATTAAAACATTAAAACAAAGTTTTATTGCACACACAAGCTATGTCGTAAATACGATATCCAAAACAGAAATTCTCTTGCTGGTTGATTTATTCTAACGTGCAGTAAATTCATTCGTATGAACAAGCTCTATTTTACATACCATTGACAACCATTTCAGCTGTATAATTAGTTGAAGCAGCGTTATTCTTGGCTAAGCACGTGTAATTTCCTTTATCTTTGAATCGAACTTCTTTTAGAAATAATGTCGAAGAGAATTCATTATTGTTTTCAATCACCATGTTGTCTTCCTGGACCAATGAACTGTTATTCTTCAACCAGCTGATTCTGATTGGCAGGTCTCCATCAAGAATAGAGCAAGTAATGGTAATTCTCATACCTTCTCGAAGATTTGGCGGGAAGACAAACGGACTGATAACAGGAGGAACTAAAACACATCAAATATATCAAGTAATGCTTAGGAAAATAAATTAATAAATAACGATATACAGCTAAAACTGTTAAAAACGAAAAAGTTCGATATCCAGCTCAAGTGATTATTTATTGTTGTATTAGTGTTCTGAAAAATTAGATATATTCAACTTTACATTTAGATGGTCTTGTGTAATCGGTCTCTGCACTATAGTTGATAAAGTTTTTGTTATAGACGTGTGTTTTACCAGTGTTATAGACGTGTATTTTACCAGTGTTATAGACGTGTATTTTACCAGTGTTATAGACGTGTGTTTTACCAATGTTATAGACGTGTGTTTTACTAGTGTTATAGACGTGTATTTTACCAGTGTTATAGACGTGTGTTTTACCAATGTTATAGACGTGTGTTTTACCAGTGTTATAGACGTGTGTTTTACCAATGTTATAGACGTGTGTTTTACCATGTTATAGACGTGTGTTTTACCAGTGTTATAGACGTGTAGTTTTACCAATGTTATAGTACGTGTATTTACAGTGTTATAGTACGTGTGTTTACCAATGTTATAGACGTGTGTTTACCAGTGT